CTTTCTTTCTTTCCTCATCAAGTTGTCTAGCATTACCCTTTGGGGAGGTCCATCAACAGACATGTCTTGCAACNTTAAGCAGCTCGATGTCTCTTTCTTTCTTTCTTTCCTCATCAAGTTGTCTAGCATTACCCTTTGGGGAGGTCCATCAACAGACATGTCTTGCAACTAGTTTTTCATTGTACGTTATTTCTCGCTCTCGACAATGTCTTGAAGGTTGCATTCGTAATCTCAAATCTATCTTCCCATTTCTTTGAGAAAACATTCTTGAGCAGACATCCTTTTGGTTTCATCTCATTCATTAGTCTTAGGACATCCACTCATTTTCAATACAATTTTTCCTTTCCCCGAAGCTCGGACATAGTCAAATCCACATGCATTCTTCCCGGGTCGTTCCTCCCAGCCTTTCTTAGGTCCTTCCAATCCCGCATGCCTATCATCCTCTGCCCTTTCTTGCCCTTTACTCAATTGACTTTTCATGTGCAATGCTTGGTTCACCCCTTAGCCACTTCTCATCTTTTCAAGCTTATACGAGTCGATTACACAGCCAACTCTTAGTCTGCCAGTTCCAGTTCATACCATGTCGCTTGCTCAAGTCCTTTCTGCGTTGGCATTTTGCCACGTCCCCTTTTCTCAGGCCTATACAAAGTCAATTACAATCTTTTTCTGTCCCGACCATCTTGACAGGCCCCTCTTTCCCAAGCCCATGCAAAATCAATTACCAGTCTTATTTTCATGCGTATTCATTGGTAGATGACACATCTTCCCCCCACTCAAAATGCGATGTCCCCATTGCGCGACTGGTCCTCACTCGGAAGCACGAGACCTTTGGCCCACCAATCGCAAGTCAAGGACACAAGCCCATCCGCTTCACAAAAGGAGGAGTGATCAGTTCCCCCCCAGCGGACGACGCCTCATCCTTCTACTCGGTCCGACCTTTCTTCTCTTACGTGGCGAGCACCAATACTGAGGTTCCTCCCCATGTCTGGCAAGCAGGTCCAATCCAAGCCTCCCAGGACCTCGGCAAGCCGTAAGAGCATTCCTCGCGAATCGTTCCTCCCGAGTGGTGATTTTTTGGATTTCGGCCTCTTCCTTTCAAGAGAGTTGGGGCTCTCAATTAGTTCGCGAGTGCAGTTACGAAGACCTCGCAATTAGTCTCGAAGCGGTTGTAATGCTCCGGCAGGGCAGTGTCAATGCCCCGTGGTGGCCGCGGACTCCACACGGTACTCCGCCAAGCCTCTCCCCTTGGACAGTGCCGCCCAACTTAGCGCGGGCAGCCGTGGTCCGACCCAAACGGCCATGCCACCCCTCTATGACATGGCGTGTGGTTGGAAAGTAGCAAAAATAGACTAGATGAGAATGGCTTTCCTGCCCATTTGGCTCTCTCGCCCTTTGACGTTTAGGCGTTCAACAGGAGGCGCAGTTGGAACTCCCCGACTAAAGCTCATTGTCGGAGGTGGTTCTGGACGTCCCGCACCGATCCAAGTGGTGGGTGCCTTAGTCCTTTAACCCTCACCCTCTTGAAAAGGGGGGTCTTGAAGAGGAACAGGTCGCGCTGAGACTTTTTCCCTCAAAGGGATAGAGGTCTTGGGTTCGCGGTGCATGCATCGGTATCCCCCTCTTGGTGAGGCCAAAGACTAGAAGAAAAGAGAAATTTCATTTCAAAGCTCTTTCCAAGTCCATTTCAAGTTGCCTAGGGTCCCTTGGTTATGTAATGCAATTTCCAATACTCAATCCAATTCCAATGCTCGGTCTCATTCCCATGCTCAATCTAAGGTCAGTGCTCAACCCAATTCCAAGGCTCAATCCAATCTCTCTTCCAAGGCTGAGTCCAATATCCTTTCCAAGGCTGAGTTCTTCCAATTTTTTTTCCAAGGCTCAACTCTTCCAATCTCTTTTCCAAAACTTCGCTCTTCCAATTCCATGCATCACAAGCAACCATGCAAGGGGACCCCAATGCCAATTCCAAAGAATGACCCTTGTCAGGGGCCATTCCGAACAACCTGGTTAGGGTCGCTCTTTCCAATTCCAAGTCGAACAGCCTGGTTAGGGTCATCCTTATCCCTTTCAATTGGGCAGCCTGATTAGGGTCATCCTTGTCCATTTCAGTTGAACAGCCTGGTTAGGGCCATCCTTGTACATTTCAATTGAACAGCCTGGTTAGGGCTATCCTTGTCCATTGCAATGTTAGCGTCTGAGGGGGTGGGCCTCGAGGACACGGATCCTATCTCGTCTCTGGGGTTAGAGGGCGGCCATCGTCTTGGATTTTTACGCATGCTTCTTCCTTTTCCTCATGTCTTTTGCCATTCTCACATCCATCCATACATCCGACTTAGCGGCTAGTACTCAAGTTGAGGCTCGCGGCCCCAAGCAGCACTAGCCTGCCCGGCCGTTCAACCATTACAAGGGCTGTTGGATCATTTCGATGTTTCTCTGCCACTTTCCTGACTTCTCATATCCTCCCAATGTTGTGGACTTGTCTGAGATAGGTTGGGTTAGGCTCCTACGGAAGAGAATATCTCTTTACCCATAGGTCTCCTAACCTCTCACAATGACTCATGCAGCGACTCATTCAATCATGGATACACAACTTAAAAGAAAGACTTTTGCCCTGAATGTTTCTTCCAACGTTCAAGAGTTCACATGCCCCTGCCCATCTCCTCGAGACAAAGTCAATCAACCCCCAATCCCTTTCTTTCTACCAAAAAGCTTATATTTCCCAAACGGAGCGAGTACTTATACAACGTAACCCTGATCACCCACCCTCTACTAGCTCCCTCAATCCAGAAGGTAGTTTCATTGCAGTCCTTACAAGAAAAAATAAGGAGACAGAGTTCGAATGCAAAGACAACATTACAGACTCGTCTTCGTCTAGCTCCCCGTTGTTTCCCCTTTTTCTTTCCCTTAATCTACCTAGTCATCCCAAATTTTATTCTAAGTGCAAAACCCTCATGCCTTTCCCTGAAGAAGCAACCATTCGTACGAAGTAGTGCTGACTACCCAGTCCTTAGCCACTTCGAGCTTAGAAAATTCATTCACAAAAAGAGTTCAAGTGCGAAGTCCAAAATGGCAGCTCTGACTGCCCAGGGACCAAACCCTCCCAACTCCTAGTTGTTCCTCCTTACGGCTGCTGTGCCTCTATTATCTAGGTGGCCTGCGTTGAGCCTCCCTCCTTGCGCGATCCTTCATTTCCTGCTCCATTTGCCTCTTTATTCCTTGGAACTGGAGGAGTGTCCGTTCTGTGAAAAAGGTTGTTGGGGATAGATCCTCTCCCCTGCCCAACTTTTCCCTTGCCTTCATAATCCACTGATATCGCAAGATAGTGCCCCATTGATCAAACCAATCACTGAACTCAGGTCCGAACTCTTCTGTCCATTTGTCCTTTTTCTCACCCGGTTGCTCCCCTCTTCCCCGTTCTTCCCTTGTGGGCGTTGTTACCTCATCTTCCTCCTCGTCGCTGGTGAGGTCGATAAACTCCACGGGCTCGTCTTCTCCCGGCCGCTGTCCCTCTTCTGGGTTCCCCTCCTCCAGCCTTTGCCTTTTTCTCAGGTGTCCCTCTTCCTTGCTACTAGGGTCACTGTCTGATGGCAATTCTATTGGTTCTCCTTCCCTCAGCGGTGATGGCCCCCTGGTTCCTTGCTTTTTGCCCCCCCCTGTTCACAACTAGGCTGTGATCGAACCCCACATACAACTTCCTTTTCCTGGAGCTTGACTCTCCAGCTTGTCTTGACGACTGTCCCTCTTCCGACCTGTTAATTGCATTGCTATCATTTTCATTCCCAAATTCTATTTTTGTCGTTTGCTGTTTGCTCCCTGCCTGGTCCCGTTGATGCATAACAATCACCACAACCCCCCCCCCATACACTCTCAATCCTTCCCATCCCCATTTGCAGATTTTCCGGCCTTCTCAGAACCCTTGCTTGCCCCCGCGCAGTTGGTG